TATATATATATATATATATACACTTTTGGTCATTTTGGCTAAAACACCACCAAACATGCTATTCAGTGTCTCTCAGTCTTTTAAAGCAAGTGCTATTAAGCCCAGCTCGTCAAGTATTTGAAGCAATATATAGACGCACACACATCCACACACACCGAATCATACATACACACACACACACACTACTAGAAGCACTCTGGCATAGCACATCAACACAGCAGCCTGTGTCGGTCAGTCTGCAAAGGTCATCACTGGGTGATAAATGTCTTTTTTTCCCCCTAAAAATTGATTTGCATACTCCCTCACCAGCAGGCAAGTCCAGGATTCAGGACAAGAGACTGTGAGATTAAAGAGGATAGGTATGTGTGTGTGTTTTCAAAATATGTCAGAACAAAGTAAATGTGTCGAGCGTAAAAAAACCCGCACTGTACGATTTGCATCACTCTGCTGATTTCCGTGCGTGCACGCACGTGCGGCGGTGAAGCTAACAAGGCTTGTTGACGTTGCACAGCAGCTCGGTGACTTTGATGAGACGGGCCACCGTGCTCTGTGACTCCTCCTGCAGCCGCTGGTTGTTCTGCCTGAGGCTCTGCACCTCAGCCTGCAGCACCGCCTTGTCCTCCTTCTCCTGTAAGACATCGGCACACAACAGAACAAAAAAAAAGCTGTTGCTCAGATGGCTGTGGCAGGAATGGGAGGAGAGCGGCAGGTGCACCGGTGGCTTTAAGCAACTTGTGGGTACAAGTCATAGACTGTATATAACAGTCTCTGTATGCGGTCTTTATATACAGTCTATGGTACAAATAAACACACAGAGTGATGAGATAAAAACAACACAATGTGGTGTGAGCAAGAATAAAGTCGCATCCCGAAACAGCGCAGAAACAATTAGTCAATCACTTGTTTGAAAGAAAAGATTTTTTTGCTGTTGTTGTTGCTGTTTTAGACATTTATCAGGTAAACACAACCAAACATTTGCTGACTTTTCACTGTTGCATATCATTTATTAAAATCAGTGCTTTAAGGGCGTCTTACAGTGGGGTGTAGGGCTGCAACTAGGGGTTATTTTCGTGATTGAAAAGTCTGATGATTATTTTTCATTGAACACTTTCACCGATCGATCACATGCCAGAAACTATGGAAAACAATCACATCAAGCTTGCAAAAGTCCAACTTAATGTTTTTTAATATTGCTTGGTTTTAAAGTAAAACAGAGAAAAGCAGCAAATCCTCATATCTGAGAGGCTACGGCACTAAGAAGCATTCAGTTTCTCTCAATCAACTAATTGTTTCAGCACCAAATGTTCTGTTTTTAGTTTGTTTGTTTGTCTTGTTATTACAGCATTGGAAATTCGGAGGTGAATGATTAGAAAAATATCCATTAGATCTCTCAATGCTGAAAATAGGTATAGTTGCAGTCCTAAACAAGGACTTGAAATAGAAAAAAACTGCCATATGTTTGCTTTGTACATATACAGTACAGGACATATACAGTGTTTGGCAAAAATAATAATAATTAAAAATAAAAAAAATCGCAACACAATGCCCACTTGTCTGTAGTAGCCATCAGATGTGGTTAAAGGCTCCGGAAACGTTGCGTAAAGTGGCCTTTGAGTTCCTGACACATGCCGTTTTCACACATGCTCTGCACCGCCGATCTTTTCTATAAATCACCCGACGGGGTTGCGTGCTCGAGCGGTATAAAGTGCACAAGAACGAGTGATGAGAATCGTGCAGGTAGCTCAGTTCACAGCGAGTGCGTGCCACAAGTCGGGCCTCCCGCTCGCTCTACTCAGGAAGCACCCCTTTCTGCACCGCTTCGAGCATTTCCGCTAGTAAGAACACTTCTGACGTGAGTTAAATACGACAAAAAAGGGGAGCTGCACACAAAAGTCCTGATGTGACTCATCAACATCGTCTGGAGTTCATGTGTGAAAATGGCTACACAGCATTCAGAGGTATCGACATGAAAATAAAAACAAAACAAACCAACAAACAGAGCACATCATCACATTATCAAAGCACTGAAGGAGTTGTCATAAATACATGTAAAAATGTATAATACTGGAATTTCAAAAGAAATCTGATAATAATTTCTGTACACGAAATTATAAATAAATAAATGAATTTTTATAGTGTTTTTTTTTTTGTTTGTTTGTTTTTCGTGTGTATTTAATGCATCTGTATAGCTGTGATTCGACATGAGTAAACAAAAGGCTGCACTGGCAAATGGAAATCATCTCTCCGCAGTGACAGAAGCTTAGCGATTTAAGTGATAGTTTCTTCTACCTGCTGATTTTTCTGCTTGAGCTGAGGATCCCTGAAAAATGTTACCCACAGAGAGAAAAACATTCATGGAAGTCAAAGCACCTTTTGCAGGTCATCCTGCAGCTTCTTCAGCATGGCCTCCAGCTGCGACACCTTCTCCTCCAGGTGGCCTGGAGAGTCACTGCAACAGAGAGCGGCAGTGACACTTTGTCAAAAGCGATCACATGACGATGACTTCATGATTTCCCCCTTTCTAATCCGAACAAATAAATAAATAATATCTTGAAAAAATAAATGCATGAATATAACACAAAGCGTCAGGGTGTTTCAGCATCCCAGCCATCAAATCAACAAAAGCCTGCAGTGGAAAAGTTTTCCTTTCCTCTCGAACCAAATGTGTGAACTTTTCAATTTGCTTGATTGCTCGAGACGCCATCTGTCACTCTGACAGCCTCGGAGCTCGACGCTTTGTCCCTCCTGCCTTTTAATGAAACTTGTAATACTCACACATCAATTTACAGTAATTGCTACATCCGACGAGCAGAGCCGCTCTGAGCGAGCGCAGTCATCCCACGATGCATTTCGTCTGACTGCGGCTGTACATAATAAGTACACCCCACGGAGCGAAGCGAAAGCGGCCTCCCAGCAGTGAATTTAAAGTGCGATAGGTTTAAACGACAGAAAAGGGCAGAAATTGCAGTGTAGCGTGTTTGATCTTTAAAGAAACTTCATTTGGTTTTCATGACGATCACCAAATACGATCTGACAACTGGAAACCCTCCCCCATATATTTATAAATTTGCGTGTTTAATAACACAAAGGTGGGAAAATGCGCTCTAACTGCTGTCAGCGTCACTCCAATTGTTAACTATAATGTGTGCATAACTTGAAGATTTTATTGTTGTGTTTTTGATGTGAACTTGATTTATCAAAGAAATATTCACAACTTTGTTTTTGCTTATCTACTGTTGACATTTGTTTCTGTCTTTGTTTTGTCTCCGGCAGATCTGCAGGACTTTGTTTGTTCAGTCTCAGCATGGAGGAGGCGAACAAGGCCACTGAAGACAAGTAAAAATGGAGCTACAGTTTTAAAGAAAAAAAGCCACAGCAGTGAGTCACACACAGAACTGCATCACCGAGTCAGCAAGGGGCTTCTCTTTATGGCGGCGAGAAGCCATCACGTTGACTCAAACAGCTGGATGTAGTCTAAATAACTGAGTGAGAATAGAGGTGCCGTTCTAACTGAATTGAGAAAAGGGAGTAATTCAGACAAAGGCGCTAACTACAAAGATGTTGAACTGCTTCGGCTTAGACGCACTTTATAGCAACCCACCTCTCCTTTGATTCTTTTGGCTTGCCGTCAGTTTGATCAGCGCCTGCTTGGGAAGGGTCTCCGGCTTTACGGTCTGCGATAAGGAACATTATTCACATTATTATAATGATCATAAGTGATATATACAGTAAATTAAATAAAATGTGATGAGACAGAGATGTGAAAGTTGATGAAGTCAATAAAGATGTTTTGACTCTATGCACTCCTGTCACAAGCTAAGTACGCTCTCACTGCGTTTATAAGAATTAAGAGGGTAAGTAGGAGTCAGATCCTGCTAATCAGTTGCACTTGGTTAATTGTCCATCAGCAGGTGTGATCACGTCTATAAAAGCAGAAGTTTTGGTAGTTTGCTGCACCTACACCTGCACCTTCACATTCAGTTAGCAGCTTAAATGTTAAAGTTGGTGTAGGTGCTAATCATAATAATGTTAAGATTGCAACCGACCAATCACGTTGTTGTGATGTCATTTCTTTGTAATGTGGAAAAAAACCCCAAACACCTTTGTTTTTATATAAAACTCTCGTCTGGAATAAATGGTAAACATTTCAAGCCTTCTTCTTCTTCTTCTTCTTCTTTTTCTTCTTCTTCTTCCTCAAGCATTCTAAATTAATTCGTACAGTTATTAATAACAGTATTAATAACAACTATCAATTTAGGTTTGCTGTTAGCCAAATTAAGGTTACTCATGTTGGTTTTCAGAAAAGTGTTAGCTAACTGCTTGACTAATGCTAAATAAATCTCAGATAGGCTCACTGGTCAATTGGGGTGATGCTTTGAGCTTGTTTTGCAGCCACAGGACTTTTCACTCATCAAGTCGACCGTGAACATTTCTAGAGTCAAATGTGAGGCCATCTGTCCACAGCTAAAGCTTGTATTTTGCAGCAGGACAATGATCCTAAGCACAGCAGCACATCTGCAAAAAAATGGCTGAAAATGGAAAAACTCGGGGTGTTGCAATAAGTCCAGACCTCAACCTGACTGAAAGCTGTGGTGGGAACCTATTAATGCTGTGCATAAAGAAATGCCCGCAAACCTCAATGAACTGAAGCAACATGTAAAGAAGAGTGGGCAAAAATCCTCCACAATAATATGTGAGACAAATAATGTCACACAGTAACCAATTACTTCAAGTTATTGCTGCTAATCGTGGATCTACAAGCTACAGAATCAGGGATGTTCTTAGTTTTTCAGACGACTGCATGCCCCCCTTTTTACAACACTTTTATACAACATGCAACTTTTTGTGCCCAAACACACCAAAGAACACACCAACATTTCTGACATGCTACACACGAAAACTGTTGTGACTGCTCATTTGATGCATTGCTTGCTTGGCACCATGCTCGCATTAGCTAACTGTTCCCAACAAATGATGCCCGCAGGCTGAGGGCTGTTGACATGTCCGGCAGACAGGTAGCATTTGCAATACTGTTTACTGCCAGTTATTTTTTATTCTATTTGTTAAGGTGGTGCAATAACAGTGCACCTGAGCAGTCAATCTGGGAACCCTTATGCTATGTGGCCAAAGGACAAACAACTAGATCACTCATTTAAACATCTATTCCGGATCTGTTTCTTACAGGAGCCCTTGCTCTTCTAAAAAGAGTTTCCAGCATCTTAATTCTGGCTGCAGAGATTTGTTTCTATGCAGTATTAGCGAGGCCAGATGTCGAAGTTCGGCTGGGCTTAAAGTTTAGTCTTTCTAAGTGGTCCCAAAGGTGTTTGATGGGGTGGAGGTGCAGGCCAAGTGGCATTCATCCAGGATGCTTTTAGTTATAGCGCATAATGGGTAGCTAATTAAGGCAATGTTACAGTTATTTACTTACAGTAAAGCGAGTCTATTTTCCTGTGATTGTGCAGAACATTTTAGGAGCTTGATGCATTATTTACAGTCTAATCCACATTTATCAAGTATATATAAACAGTTCCTCACCCTCTCGTGACAAAGCCTCCAGGATGTTGCGGCAGGCTGTGGCCAGGTCAGAAATCGACTGCCACTCCTCCTCAGTCGAATCTGTTGTCTCCGAGAGAACTGTAACACAGAGGAAAAAGTTCACTAAACATGCCTCAGATTATAGGTAACAGCGCAAGAGGACTGGGATGTGTGAAGCAGCTGATTCCTTCTGGTTCTGCAATAGCAAAGAGTCCCCACCTGGGGGTGCTGCTGTGTTACTGCTGGTCAGATTTTAGAGCACAGATGAGCTGATGTGCCGGCTTGGCCATGTCAGACCAACTAAGATGAAATTTATAGGAGCACGCGATCAAAACATAGTACACGAGAGTTACGGTGCAAGACAGGGAGCTTTAATATTTTAATAGTTTTCGTGAGTTTTTGTGAATATAAGAGTTTTAATGACATTGAAGGTAGTGAAAAGTACTGGTTTAAGACATATTAAGAAGCTAAATTTCAATGAGAGAACCCTGCATCCCCCTGAAAAAAAAATATCAGAAGACTCTGATGATGAGAGGATGAGCAAGTGTGCTCTTACAGCAGTTAAATGATGAGTCTCATAGTCTCAGTGGAGGCAGAGCAGATGGTGTAAGAGGGGTTCCTTGAATTGGGGCTGCCTAAAACTCCACCCCTCCCACTACCCATCTGTCCCCCTTTTATCCCAGCCTTGGCAGGGGGTGGCAGCGGAGCAGGGATGATATTAGATTAGCGGAATAGGGGGCAGCGTGGATGAAAGAGGAGGAACAAAGGGGATGTAGTGGGGACTAAAGGGAGGATAATGAAGAGAGGATTTTAAGGCAGAGGAAATCTGGAAAAAGGAATTTGAGGTTAAATCAGGCAGAGATGATTCGCAAACATGTGTAATTGTTGTATTTCGGCTTCATTTAAGCTGCGGCTGTGTCTACTGTTCTGTCTGAATGAGATTTTCCCTTTTAGATTTTGTTATGCACATACAATGAGACTCTAAATAAGCAAGCACTTACTCTTGGTGATGGAGTTATGAAGACTCAGGGCTCGGGAATTTCTTTCAGCTCGGTCCACACTTGACAGCCGCAAAGACGAGAGAGAGGAGTCACTCGCCGAGGCTTTGTCATCGCCAAACTCGGCCCCCATGAACTGAAGACAAGACAGAGTTTGAGATGAAGGAGAGACAACGGTGTCAGAAAGGAGACGGAGAGGTGCTGCGGCGCGCTGTTTTTTCACCTGCTCGTCGCCGAGGGGAACCTTCGGTTTGACTTCCAGGATCAGATCAGGTGTGGCATCCCTCAGCTCCCCGATGTTCTCATAGATGTGGTGTTCAACCTTCAACCCCACGTTGTCATACACGTGCCTGCACACCGGGGCGGAGGGAAAGAGGGTGTTGAAAAAATAACCCCAAAAAACCCAATGAAAATTGGATGTTCAGGCTTTATTTTTTTAAACCAATCTAAAGGTCAAAACAGAAACCAGAGAAGTAATCTCCAGGATGGCTCAGATTTGAGCCTGATTCACATTTACTGTGGCGCACTCGCAGAATTATCTGTCAAATATATCATGTGATGCCGTCCAGTCTAATTTCTCAGTACTACTTTGTGTGACGATAAAAAGAAGTCAAATTCGATTTAGCGAGCAGCAGAATTTAATATTATCCTCATGAATATTTCCTTTATGCACAGCGTTTTCCTCAAGCTGACCAGTGTGGTTAAAGGGATTTACCCGAGACAGATGCGGAGGGGCCTTTGATACTCAAGAAAATGAGGAATGAGTGCACAGTGCAGATCATTATGTAAGTAACCTCTGAATTGAAAGCAAGCTTCATGGCTATCATTCATGACTTGTTTATCCCAGCTGACACTGGGACTGAAATACAGTGTTTTCCTCTGAAATGTAGTCAAGTAGAAGTGAAACATAAATGAAGACTAAAACATATCGCTCGAAATTGAAGGGAGCTCTTGAACAATTTGAATTTTGAAGCACGATATTGATTTCTGCTGACTGCTGTTACATCCTTTTCATTCATCAAGATCCGATTTGCGTTCATTTTTTTGAGTATTATATCCTAGTGTCAGTTTACTACACTACACTTTCTACTTGAGAGAAAATAAAGTTAAAAAAGCAATTTGAACAGGAACATCAAAGTGAGTATACAATGCCAAACATTTAAAAGTGGAGGCGCTAAATTCCCTGAAGATAAAATCAGTCCGTGCCTCAACTTCTGAACCAGAAAAGTGACATAAAAACGAAGTGACGGAGATTTTGCATCATCAGCAGATGCATTTAAATAGCCTCTATAAAACCGAGCTTCTCTTTTTTTCCTTGATTTTCATTTCTTGTGTTTCTTCGTGACGCCGCCGTAACACTTCAAAGAACACCTCTATAAGTTTTAGTCGCACTCACCCCGCGTCGCAAGTGTCGCTGTAGGACAGCTGTTTTTCCAGAGAGTAGCTGCGCGGGAGCTGCGAAGCGCTGCCCTCCTGGCCCTGATTGGCCGGCTGGTCCTGCAGAGATGTGGCTCGTAACAAAGGTAAGCTGGGCATTGTGAGGAGCGAGTACGGATTGCGCTCGCTCTCCACTTTATCGCAGAGCTGCTCTTCGCCTTCGTCGGTCTCCACCTGCGCCTCCTTTGTGTCCGGCTCCTCGACCCCGCCCGTCTTCACATCATCATCCTCTTTTTTTGCCTCCTCCTCTTCCTCCCTTTCGTCCAGCACCCAGGCCTCTCCTGACTGATTCTCACCGGGCTTGCACTCTGCATCCTTGATGGCTTTCAGATACAGCTCAGAGAAACTCCTGCAGAACATGGAGGAAAAAAACATCACACACACAAATTAATTTAAAAAAGCTAACTAAGCTGAAACTAAGATGAGATGGGAGGAAAAATATCGTTGACGTCTTTGTGAGACTTTGCGCTTTGTTGTAACGAAAGAAGAATTTTGAGCATCGGTTACATTTATCTAAACAGTCCCCTCCACAGCTGCTTCTGTCCTGCCTCTGATCTGAATGGAAAGGTGGTGGTAGCAGCAGTGCAGCATGTGACAGTGTGATTAAAGATCATTAAAGGGATTGACTTGCTTCTAGTCAGCTGGTGTGACACTGACTGCAGGCTGTAACCCACTAAAGAGTGAGAGGCGAGTAGCTCTTGTGTTGTTCCGATCTGACCTGTCCCACAAGCCCTGTTCAATACCCACGACTCCCTTCTCGTCCCCACCTGCGAGGCTTGCCGTTCTCGTCCGGTGGGATGACGGTGATGTGGATCTTGTGGGCGGTGCGGAGCAGCCTGGTCCTCTCGTCGAGGCTCAGGTGAACCAGCGAGTGCCCGCAGAGCCTCACCACGCGAGCCCACAGCTGCAGGCCTCCGCTCTCAGCGTAGCAAAACCGCTGCAGCTCCGTCACAAAGCCCTCCTCGTTCATCAGGAAGCCGGGCTGCCCCACTCCGTCGCGCAGGGGTGTGACCTCCAGCGCCTCGCAGCCCCGTGTAACCAGCTGCAGAAGAGCAGATTCGGGTGAAGGAATGAAAAAGACGTAAAATAGTCACGCAGAAATTTCGATTTGGTTCACAGTCACCCACCTCAAGCCTCTGCACCACCTCTCGTATGTCTTCTGCCTGGTTCTCCATCATGCTGATCGACACCGACTCCCCGCGCTCGTAGAAGATATCTAAGCAGGGCCCCCCGTCTTTGGGCTCTGTCACCGCCTTCCAGCCAATGACATCGCGACAGGAGCAGTTGAACACCACCTTGCGCGAGTACCTCTCGATGAGCACCACCGACTCGGTCGACACGGCGAGCAAACAGGGGAGCTTGTGCTCTCCGGCTTCCCATTCATCTATGCTGTTCACCATCACCGCCCACACAAGGGCCCCATTGCTGTGCAGCTCGGCCCCTTTGGCGCCCTTCATCTTGTCTTTGCGCTTTCCGCCCAGGGAGAGCAGGGGGAACTTAGTGGAGGAGTCTATGGGCGTGGTGGTCACGTAGTTTTCCGCCAGGTCCTTCAGGTATTCCTGACGCGTGCGGGTGGCCATGGAGCGGAACTTCTCTGACTTCTCTGCAGCATTTTCAGCGTTGACCGCCTTCGCCAGGAGGAAGTCTCTAAAGGCGGCCGAGCGAGGGAATCGGGCACCTTTGGGGAACAGAGGCCCGAATAATGGGATGTCTTTAGAGCGTGTCACAGCCACCCTGAGAGGAAGAGAAATGAGGAGTGAGGAGAGGGTGCAGCAAGAACATTCAATCTATGTCTTGTTTTGTTTTGGAGTGTTGTTGACAGAGCACACGCAAATACCAGGATGTGACTCTAACACCCGCAGTTTAAAAAAAAATTTTTTTTAGATCGACTAAAAATCCTTATAGCTTACTTAAATCTGCCACTTCTCACACAAAGAACCCAAATCCCTGATTTCCTTTTCCTAAGTGCTTTTTTAATTTTAGCTGCTAGAAAAATGTACAAATTCTCGTTAAACCCCTGAGAATGATGGAGTCAGACCTGTAGTAGGTGTTCTCGGTGCAGGGCTCGTGAACTTGCACGATGATGAAGACGTGCTGGAAATGGGAGCGGATGGACTTCGGAGTAAAGGGCATAGCGCCCGGCTCCTGAAACACGATCGTCACAATGTCGTTACCGATGTGGCGCTTCCGCAGCAACTGATGAGACCAAACAGAAACACAGACATTAATTAAACCAGAGGCCATTGCAGCTAATTAAACCTGAGAACAGTTACCTACCAAACAAAAACATTTAAGGGAAGAGCAGACAGATAATGCTTCAAGACAGGCCTACAAATGAAATAAGCGAGTTCATCATAACAACAATCGTGTTTTACCAATCGGCCCATTTACTCATGATTTCTTCCGTTTTAATGCTCTGTACATGACGCATTAAACGTGAACAAAACAATGACATTTAATCATGTTTATTAGAATAAATAAACTAAATAAGTTGTAAATACTCCTGCGTCTTTTCATCTAAACTTCATTATTCATACTTTGGGAAATTTGTTGTGATTTAAATCGCTTTTCTTCATAGACAAATATATAAAAATAGATTACAAAAACCCAAGATACAAACGCAGGCTTGGCTGTAGATTATTGCACCAAAGCTACCGGAGCCTAAACCGCTGCTGCTGCTGCAGAGGCTGCAGATTAAAGAGGCAATGCAGTGCCTCATCACTGCCATGTAAAATCTTTAATCTATATTAACATGCAATGTCCAGTTTCTTTGCAAATGACATCAAACAGGCTTAAACCCTAGACGGCACGTTAAAACACGACAGCCGGATGAACAGAAGACGGCCTGCGAGGCAGCAGTGAATACCTTCATGGTGGGAGTGAACACTGGGGGGCAGGATTTTTATGTCATGCTTGTTGTGGAGCGCAGAGGCTTTTTCTGCAGCTTTTACTAAAGCACGACGGTACGCAGAGAGCTACGTAATGAAAATCGTGGCTCATTCGGTCTTTTGAAGAATACTGAACAAAGGCTGAAGGAAGACTGCAATTCTGTGGAATTGTGTTGTGATACACAAAGAGCAGGAAAAGGAAACCATGTGTCACGGGCCTGTTAGGTTGTGGCTGCTGTTACCTGCTGTGTGTTGTTGGCTGTGTAGGGCAGCATGGTGGACACATGAAACATAATCTCGTAGTCCTGGTAGCGCGTGTAGAGCGAATGTGTCCCAGTTGAGTCGGCTGCACAGGTACGCACAGAAAGAGACAGACAGGTAGAGATTTAGCAGAATCAGTCAACGTCTCTGAAGGAAGCACTAAACTCAGGCTGTCACAGCCGGGATGAAATGTGTCCCGCTGCTCACTCAAGGGAAAACAGCTCAGAGATAATCAGCAGTGACTATGCTATTTTGCAGGCATTACTCAGATTACATGTGGCTAGATAGGAGTTATCTTCGGCTTTCTGTGGTGCACTGATGCCCTTCGGATAATCGTACTGCGACAAGGTGAGATGTAGCCAATAGATGTGGGTGTAAATGAAGTGTCTGTAGCTCACTCTTGTTGTCCAGCTGAGCTCGGTATTTTTCCCAGCCCTTCAGTCGCACCCGTTCCCCGAGCAGATCCAGAAACTTCTCAAATGCCGGCCCGGAGCTCTCGTTGTTGTACATGTCTTCCTCTGAGCTCTGCCCGGCCCGGCAGTACATTATCCCAACCTTTCGCTGAAAATTCAGCTGGAAGATAGAGAGGCACAAAAGTTATTGAGCACTGAAAAATATACAGAGTTAGAGTGAGAACTCTCATTTCTAGCCTTTATTTGATATTTTACTTTACAGGAAAAGGCAAGGGAGTTGGGTATTACTGAATGTAAACATAATCAAACTCATCACAGCTCCCAAGACTTTTTTAACTGGTCATTTCTTGCAGTTTTACACTTTCCACCCAGATCACTTTGTGTCTATACGCCACTCTGCCTTTAATCATTAGTTTTTATTAAACTCGCTCTTCCACAGCACGTCTTTTGTCCTTTCTTCCTCCCATCACCTCCAACTGGTCGCAGCTAATGGCTATCCTGATGTACTGGAAGTTTTCCTTCCCACTGTCACTAAAATATTTGGTTATAGGGGTTCGTCTAAATGTGTTTTTTTAATCTCTACTGGTGTAGAGCTTTATACCCAGGGGCGTAATATCCAGGGGGGTTGGGGGGGGGGGGGGTGTCAATAATCAGACCCAACCAATATAACCCCCCCACCCAATAAAATTATGAATTATCTTGCATAAATAGGCTGTTGATTTTCTTTATTTATTTCAGGTATTACCAGCAAAATAGTTGCATGTTTAGTCATCGTGGAATTTACACAGATTTATTTATTTATTTTAGACCCCCCCACAAAGTTACGCCGATGCTTATCCCTTACAGTATAAAGCATCGTGAGGGGACAAGTGTTGTTGTGATTTGGCAACATGTAAATAAAATAACATAAAATTGAATTAAATTGAATATATAACTTCAGATGTGGGCTAGAGAGCACCTACAGGATAATGAAGGAGCTTCAGCATTTGGCAGGTTCTGCAATGTCAAAAAAGTCAATAGAAATAAAGAAATATGGGTTTTAAAAAAACGACTTCAATGTTGGGTAATCAGCAAAAAATATTTTGCATCTCACTAATTAAATGTTTGGTACATTTTTATATTTATTAGTACCTTTTGATTTCATTATTTAAATCTCATAATTTGTTTCTTTTGAGTGTTTTTCAAACAAATTGGGACACTAAATGTTTTGGGCTCAGGATGCGTGACAAACAAATGTTAAAATTTTTAATCACGACAAAATATGAAGTGTTAATTAAAAACAAATTGAAATTTGAATGAATCTTACTCAGTCAATAATATTTGCGATAAATACAGAAGAAAAAGCAACGGCTCCAAGTCAAACAATACAGGAGAAAAACAACAAAGTGAGAGCTTTTTGCTTTTTACTCTTTCTGCAGCACATAATCAACTTGAAAACAATTAGCTTACAGCTCCAGTTCTAATGGAATAGAAGCAAATGTAATAACTGGGTTAAATGACCTCTTGGACAGCAGTTGTAGGCTTTTAACATAAAGTGGAGAAAAATACACAAACCCTATCTGATGCCGTTTGACACAATTTACAGTTTTCTGCCCGACACATGCAGCAGTCTTCAGTATCACCGGTGTCACGTTACTCACCCCCTGTTCATCCAGTTTGAGCAGGGTGTCCCGCACCTTGGGGGAGTTTGAGGCCAAGCGAAGGCAGTGCTGGTTCAGCTCAGGCATGATGAACTCCAACAGCCTCTTGGGAGTCAAGCCTCTGGGGGTCGTGTGTCGAGCCGCAGAGGGCACCGACTCCTCCAGGATGGAACCTCGCAGAGTCTTCATCTGCGGACGGGATTCACACTCAACACATCCGGTCGAATCAATTTTACACAGAAGAGGAGAAGCGCGCTGCTTTTACCTCTGTGGTGCGAAATATGATTCTACAGTTGTTCTGAGCGCCGCTGGATCCTTCTTTCTCCTCTCGACGGAAGCTGATGGCCACCGGCCCGAGGCGTTCGTCAATTCCAAAAAAATTCTGATGTTCTGCGACGGCAGGACAGACAAATAAATACTGAGAGGAACGAGACCGGAAGACCCACAGTGGGTCAAACAACTATCAGAGCACCTATAAGGCTTATAAGGACCTGTACAAAAATTATAACAGAGGGGAGGTGAGGGGGATTTATATGGAGGACCAAAAATGGCAACATAATGTAAAATGTAAAAGAAAGAGGTTCAAAACCATAACTCTATTTTGCATTTTAATTTTCATCTATTTCATCTATTAAAAAAACAATCTCAAAGTGACTAATATTTACTTTAAACCACCTCTCTAAGCAGAAGACTCTACCTCTTCATATCAAGGCAATATGATGGCGAACTCAACAGTTGCTGAAAATAAAGTGACTCAGGTGCAATTACTCCTACCTACAGCACTGAAGGGAAACTGAAGGCTCTTGACCCTTTATTACTCACAACACACACAGTAAACACTCATATAAATAAACACTCACAAGGAAAGGCTAAATTAAAATAAAAAGCATAAAAAAGTGACTGAATGAATTTCACATGGCCTATAAAGGACGGGAAAATTCCTAAATCTTGGTGAGTGTTAGACTTAACAGGGAACAGCTGAAAAGTAATTGATCGTAATCCTTTGACACTGTGCCACGTACCTTTCATGTAGAAATACTTGCGATAGTAATGGGCTCCCAGATCAGCATGCTCTATGAAGTAGTTGCTCTTGCCCTGCTGCTGCACATTGCTCTCTCTGGGCTCTTCCAGGACCGAAACTGCATCATTGGGGATGCGAAGGCTAGACCAGAGTCCCTTCCTTCCCTGGGATCGACCCAGGCCCGCCTGCTCCTCTCCTCCAGTCTCGTTGCGGAAGTGGGGGCAGCTGAGGAGGAGCTCGTTATCGTTGCCATCACCTTCATCTAGCATCATTGACTGTTCGTTGTCTTCTGCGTTCCCTGTGCTGCCACCCCCGCCCTGCGCAGGTGAGGATGGGGTGGACAGGGAGAGGGGACGGGGCTGGGAGGCAGCTGAAGCCCCTGAGGTGATATTCTTTTTCCGTCCAATGCTGTCTCTGTTTGTGGCTACCTCGGTTAGGTCAAACAGGATGCTCTGCACGTCATAGTGAGCAAAGCTCCTCACCCAGGCTCCGCCCCCGATGTTGTCATATGGAACTGGTTGAGGGACCTGAGAGGTCGTGGGTTTAGACTTTTTGCTAAGACCTTCAGGCTTTGGTGGCTTAACGGGTTTTGGGCCATCCACCGTGCAAACACCTCGAAAGTATCCATCGGGTTCTGGAGGGTGTCCCTGCAGCCCTAAAAGCAGGAAAGGGTCTTTGAAGCGGAGGGCACTTGGACTCAGGGGTCCCTGGTCGTCTGCTCTTGGCTCCTGGGCTTGAGTCTGTCTCTCGAGTGATGACAGGCTGCCGTACTCCCTGTGTAACAGCACACCTGTGTCTCCCTGAACCCCAGCATCCACCTTCTCACCAACCGCTCGCGCTGTTTTCCCCCCCGCCTTCCCAGAGGAGTCCAAGTCCCCAAGTGTGACATCGCTGTTACTTCTCTGCATGATGTGCCCCCGGCCCATGGACCGCAGGGTCAACCCGGCGCGGCTCGGGGTGAGGCTGTCCGCTTCGGCCCCATCGCCGTCCCTTCTTGGCGGCCACTCCACTACACCCGTTTCCCTCTTGGGGTCAAAGTTGACCGCTGCGATAGGCGGCCGCTGATTCTGACGGCGAAACTTGCGAATGAAGAGGTCGTCTGACTGCATGGTGTCCACCTGACAAACCAACTCCAGTCCAGCGGTATTTTCTCCACTCTGCTCCAGGGCTTCCCGCTAACCCCACCCTCCCAGTTAAATTGTTGTCCCGGTCTCTATGGCGCTGGTGTGAAATGGGAACACTGAGCGAAAGCAGCAAACTCAGTCCTCATTCACACCACTTACGAAGGCTGACCCTCTTCTCCACTCTCAGGCTCTCACAGATGCTGTGTGAGACACTGCACTCTGTCAATACGTTCCCAAGTGTGGAAGATGAGGACACGCGAAAAAGTGCTCCTGTTTTCTGCAGCGGTCCATCCAGGTGTGCAGATGTGTGTTTAGGTGGTACTCCAGTTGCGGGGTGCTCCTTCCTGTAAAGGATGTGAGGATCATCACTGGAGCCTGACTCTGTGTCCTCTGATTAAGAGAGGCTCCTTATGTATCAACACAGCGTCCTTCCGTGTGCACGCTTTCAGTGCCTGCGGCCTCTCTTTCGGTCTTATCCACCGGCAACCTGTACAGAAAAGAAGAGGAAGAAAAATATAAGTTTGGACCCCATCGTCACATTTTACCCACACTGATATAATCTCAATCAACAGCTTTATATTCAGCCCGTAGCAGTTCACCAGAAAAAGATTTGATAAACAAGTACTGAATTGCAACAATAAGGCAGTAAGCAGGTCTGACGTGTGTTTTATTGTTGAGTAATGCCTTGTACCTCTGTTTTCTGTTTTCCCTCATTATTATTCTTTCCTTTAGACACTTTCCGTTCCAAAGTTTCCCTAAATAGTTCCATAGCAAACTTAATACTCACCACATCCACCCCGCACACGCTCACAATAGACAGTATTAACACAGGGGAGGGTCCTTCCTGGCTTACTGACAATGTGCCAGCATACAAGCGAAATAAGTGTACGCCGTGTCTCTTACCTCCCCTCCACCCCGACACTGTGCATTCGCACACCACCAAACAGTTTTGTAGTTCACTCCCGCGCCAGTATTCAAACAAATACGTCAGTATGGACAACAAAAAGCATTTTAAATAACTGCAAATGCCGTGTTTTGCGACAGATATTACTTTCACTATTTTGAGAGTCATTGAAAGTCAAGAGGGTTTGAGAAAACGACAATGAAGCAGAGTGCTTCCCTGTTTTTAAGCCCTAAAAGAATTCATCTTTTTTTTGTTTCAACAAAGCCGACTTACCGTCAAAGTGGATTCTGTCCTAGGTACAGATCAGCCTGTTTGTGTCATCGTTTGTTGCTCGCACCCTGTTTTGGACCAAACTGACGTCAATCAACTCAAGCTGAAACCTTTTTGTCGCTCTCAATAAGGTACGAAGCTTCTTCCTGTCTAGTTTTTTTTAAAGCATCCATCTCCTCTATCGAGCTTGCAGCCTAAAGAGCAGGTGCAGCGGTGCAGAGCGCACACACATTCACATCACACTGACTTACATTCATTTCCTTCTCCCAACTCTAACGCTAACCGCTACTTGCATTAACCCCGGCCCCCCTAGAGGTTTTTATTTTGTCCCCGAAAAAGGGGTCGAGTCCCCACAGCGTGATTGTGTAAACTATTTTAGGTCCCCCACAACATGCACAATACAAGTACACACAAACACACACAACACAAAAATATGCCAAATAGTGAGGAAGTCACAAGAAATCTTGGTTTCCCCTCCTTGCTGCTGCTCACGTTCGCTTGATTTTTTTCACCCAAACAGAAAATATCAACGTGCAGTTTAAACGTTGGCGCTAAAAATGCATTTAAAAAAAAGCAAACGTTGAATAAGGATCAAATTTATTTGTTCATTTGCTCGCGTGTCAAGATATGCTAATGAACGTGAAGGTCATGTTATATCATCGATATGAGCACTGTGAGCAGGAAGTTCTCTCTAAAGGAGATTGTGTCTAGATTTGAAAAAGGGGAAACAATGATTAGACTTCTCTATTATTGTTTATTCTAACAAATCATTCATTGGAACACATTCAACATTGCCTTCAGTGCCTATTTTTCCATTATTCTGACAATATGCTTTTATAGACATGTTATCATTGATCTGAACTGTGTTATAAACTAATAATACACTAATAATACAAGCTGCCATAGATTTTCAGAAGCTGTTTTGTGATTTCTTACTGATAAAAATTGAATCTGCGTTGTGTGCACACCTCTCGATGACTACTTCAGACAAACATGCTGTGTTTTCAGCATTAACTTAAGTATATTTAGTTGGAATATCCTCAAGTTTCTAATCCAGCCTAAAAGCAATCACCATCTGTAAACACTCTAAGTGTAAATTTCTCCTCAGGTTATTTAATCCCCAAACTTTATAGAAACAAGCCAAGGACGTGACCTCAGCATTCTCCGTGGTACCTCGAGGCTCTGCGATGTACGTAAATGTTTATCCTTACGGCTGGCTACTATCTGTAACAGTGTTACAGATACGCTGTGGCTCAGTGTGAATGAGTAATATGTGTAACTATGTGTAAATATAATATTACTTTCATATCTGTCTGAACTAGAGTGAAGACGCTTATTTTGCATGCCTGGAATGGGAAAGAGAAAGCACGGTGAAGTACTGAATTAGGGGCAAAAGTCTTCTCATTTTTAGCACCTCTGATTGAGTCGGGGTTTCCCGTGGAAGCCCAGAGCGGACTTAATTAGCGCGACGATCTTAATCTAATACTGAAAAATTAAAATGCAATTCCTGAATTTTCACAAGTGCTGTTCACTCAATATCGTTCTCTGTTGAGCGCACTGTTCCTTTGGAAAACAACAGCCACGAGCTGTCCTCGTGTTTTAATTTTGAACTTAAAAACACTGACATCAAATGCGCCTGCTGATGTTTTAGTGTAGCTGCATTACATAAGGGTTTTTTTGCTCCATTTGAATTTCATCTACCGCAGAGCTTATTCAATCTATGTAAATGAACTGTTAAATGCTGTTTTACTTTCTGTTTTGAAATTGTGAAAGGTGGATATTGCTTGCACTGTATTTTAGTATTATAGTATTGTTTTAATTAGGCCCCCAGTAAGCTCCCATACTCCTCTCTTTCATGCGAGACTCCTGATCTGACAATGAGCACCAGTTAACCGCTTTGCTTGCCTCTGTGTGTGTAGAGTGCTGCAGCTTCTGACATTAAAAACCTGCTCATGTTCCCTCCTGGAAACTTTCAGATGTTCAACACCTATGTGTGCACAAATGATCTGTGTCTATGCCTATCTGCAATCATTACATGCAGCGTCATCTGCATGCTTCACAATGCTTTGAGAAAGTGTGAGCAATCAATTCTCTCCACCGTCTCAGAGTGGGGGTGTAGATTATTGGCAGCAGGTTGTTTTTGGAAAAAAAAAATGAAAAAAAAATCACAGATTGCTTTCATGTTGTTCCAACAACAATCTGAATGCCTGAGGTCCACCAGAAGCACTCCTTCTCTCCACCAACACACAGTGCTGGTTGAACTTGGACACTTATCAGTCGGCCCTTTGTAAAAATTCACATGTTCCTGAGCTTCTCGGGACCTCAAACCATGAATCAGTCCTTGTTTCCATAGCAACCTGCCTGGTGCCACCCTCTCTATGTGGCATGTAGTCCACCGAAGCTTTAGAACAACCCTGTTTACCGAAATAGCTCCACTTTTGTCAAACAAGCCCGCGACTGGTGACGCTCATGTTCATAATGTATGGTAAACTATAAGAACAAGACAACCTCCAAGTATTCACATGTGACACCACTGCTATTTCAGCTACACTGGCTTCCTGTTGAATTGAGTACATTTTAAGATCCTGGTCTTGACATTTAGAGCCTTGCATGGATTGGCACCTCCCTACATCTACGATCTGCTACAGCCCTATGTCCCCAGCAGGTCCCTGAGGTCATCTGATCAGGGCTTACTTGCTCTAAAACAGACCACGGTGAGAACTAAGGGTGACAGAGCTTTTGCCACTGTGGCCCCGAGACTGTGGAACTCTCTCCCTCATACATTAAGAACTCGGTGGTTGTTTTTAAAAAACAACTCAAAACTCACCTTTTTAAAATTGTTTTTGGTTCAATTTCTGCCTGTTTTATATCGTCTGTTTTACCCTTTTATTATTTGTTATCTTATGTGCAGCACTTTCTGATTCTGTCTAGAAAGCTATATAAATAAAATTTTATTTATTTATTTTATTTATTTATTTACAACGAGGAAAACAAGGTGGACGCTGTCATGCTGCGACTTCCTTTCATAAAATCAAAACATATTTGTGACTGATGGGATTATTTCTCAGTTTTTAAGAATGAAAGTTAGTAACAGACATTATATACAGTAGGTGTCGCATACATAGACGTGTATCAGAGTGATGGCCGCAGGATTACAAAAGCGACAGTTTGCACCGCAACAAAACACATCTGTGCATCCGACAATTTGTCTCGATGCTCCAGCTTTGACAAAATCTAACAACATTACAAAATATTACGGTAGCACTCAATCTGCAAACACATCACAATGTGTGACTGTTTTCCACAGTGCGCCAGCTGCTTAACATCTGCCATAAATACGAACACACGCGCGCAGTGGTGACCTTGTTAAATTGCTGTTAAATGATTATTAGGATTACAATAACTTACTTTACACATATGCGGTGCACCTCTGTACCAAATACATGTCACAGCTCATTTACCACAAATTAGTTCTCTTTTTTTTTTTTTTACATGAAACCAGAAATATTAAATGGGCGTTCCCAAAGCTCATCTTTAGGATATTTATAGGTGCTTCTCCAAATGATTACTGTAGTTCCTCATAGGTTCCCATTGTCCTGGAGTACCTGAAACTGATCATAAGCAGACATCTGTGTTCTGCTTTTGCAACGTTTTGCTATCATAATCAGACAGAACTGAACTGGAAGCAGCTTTAAAAAAAATGGCACCGAACTTGGCCGATTTGGTTGATTCGCATCTTCACACGGGTGTATTTTCTACATCTGAGGGAAATGTACAGAGTTTCTTTCATGCAAAAGAGCAACGTTTCAGACATTGCTGATATACACTTTTACAAAAAAAAAGCCTGCCTTTTCCATACATTTGCCAAAACAACTGGCCATGCATGGATGCACAATCCATGTCAATACAGTGCATCTTAAATTTTAAAAAAGATCTTATTTATGTCAATTAAAATAATGATTAACGAGCTTCAGAGGCCATGTTGCAATGAGATAATAAAAGTTGTGTCACCTGCTAACACTGTCCTGACCCCGGGTGTTTACTAGGCATGATGGGTGTGTTTAGCAGTTCAGAATGAGCCTCTAGGGGTGACTATGCATGGAACCATGATTAGTCCAGATACCAGAAGGGTAATGAATCTGTCTATTTGACAGACTCTCTGTATGTAGTGAAGCAAGCCTGAAACTAACTCTAATCAAAGTCTAAATCCTGAAGAAGCAGTAGATTCATTGTGGGTTTCAGCCACCACCAGGCAGTGGGGTGACTTCACATGTGTCAAAGGAATAATTAGCCACAGTAACTCTGCAACTGCA